AACATACATCTAAATTGAAAGTTTCAAGGGTTCTAGCTAAGGCGGCTTGCTGACCGATCTGATAGTGTGCGGACATTGAACGCGGCTAAGTGAAAAGGGGATTTTGGCCTTAAGAATCTTATAACTTCTGATTGTCTGGCCTTGCTTGTAAAACACGGATAGATATTGGATGGGTGGCGTGAACAGGAGGCATCTGAGATTATTTGGGATTGAGAACTAGTAAAAGTAAAAACGGGAATCGGTGTGATCAGCGATTTAGTGGGCAGTATGTTTGCGTCCTGCCAAAGAGGTTGGGGGTTCGATTCCCAGTTGGGTCGATAGATTCGTACCGCTGACGAGACTCAAACAGATCCGGTGCTTCCACACTTTTAAGTTCACGCCCCACTTACAAAACGGAGTTATCTCAAAGCAACTTAGCAAGCCATCTTAATAACACCGACCTGAAGTTTTTGGCGCCATAACAGTGCATGCTCCACGCGTACAGTAAATGTTAAGGGTACACAATAGAAAAACATGTTCGCATACAACAGTCAACCAGCATGGTACTAATGGAACCTTTCAATTCTTTGCAACTTCCGAGATACAGACAACGTCAGCATCATCGCTAGGCTAAACGCGTACAATGAAATTGAAGCCATATCAGCAAAGGTGTATATGCAACATAAGTAGAACGTATTGAAATTATGAAAAATGAAAACCTACTTTTGGCGACGGCGAACCTGTTGGAACACGACGCACGAGCGTAGCCTGTTGAAGGAGATATAAGAATGATTCTGGCAGACTGATTTTTGTTTTGACAAACGGCTCAACTCGCAGCAAGTCAGCAATTCGTCCGGAGATGACACCTTCTGTTATCAACTCAGAAGCCATATAAGTCACTTGAGTCACATCATTCGCGTTGCCAAGACGTGACTGCAGCAATTCCAAGGCAGCTACGGGGATACAGCGCTTGCTGACATCTGAAGATGGAGAATCGACTGTAGATTCCTTCGAACTCGAAGGCGGGGCACGATGGACGTCTTTGGTCGATATGTTGGTCCTAGCACGGCAACGAATACAAATGCCGACCGCAGTCTGTGATTCCGGTACATCAGTGATTACGCTATGGTTGGTGTTCTGAGAAATGAGATCGCATACGGAGAATAAAACATGGAGCTGAAACAGTGACGTGGATGGCGAAAAGCCGAATTGCGAATTCAACAAAAAAAAATAGACCGAGCCATGTTTACTGTCGAATTTTCGGTGACCACAACACTACACACCTTTCACTTAGATGACAGGAGGGGGGTTGTGACTTCCTACAATACACAAAATAGACCTACCAGATTCCGGTCACGCATATTTTACTTCCGGTATGAAAGCAAAAGGCACAGCAATTAGTGAACCGCAAACAACGTGCTCGGAGTGAGTGCGTGCAGCTTGCCTATTTCAGATCGGAACAGTGGGGCCATTTGATCGGAAACAGAAGTTACACTACGCAAATACATCAGATCAAACAGCACGATGGCAGACAGTTACATACACAAGGCAAAGGTCAGGCGCACAGACAGGGCGCGGTAGATGCAGTGACAACGATTTCAGGGTGTGTTAGCGAACTTCCGTGGTACGTAACGAAACCAGTACGTGACCACAGAATATGATAATGCACGGCCAGTTAGCAAAAGGTGAAGAGTTCACGGATTATGTGTACACAGGCAGACACACATCTAGCTTGTTTGGGTCTGTGTACAAGCAGACAACGATTGCATACCCGGGGTTAAAGTCCGACCAAACGCTCGCAAACGAAGGGCACAAACTACGTGTAGACAAACGTTGCAGTGTGTCGCTATTCTGAAGTTGCAATCAGAAGAAAAGGTCAAGCATGTGCAACGGAAGCGTGGTAACTTAGTCTAGCTTGACTTTAGTGAATTCACTAGGGTTGAACTACTACTAATTCGGTTTCATATTTAGACGTGTACACTGCACGACTTTTATGAGTTCTAGGATATTCCACAGCTGAAGCTGCGACTGAAATGGCTTTTGCATCAGGAAATAAACCAATGAAAATCAGCTATCATTGTTTTACGCCTCTCTTAAACGACTTACCATCAAATTTGATTAAATTCCACTTTCAGTAGCTAACAACGGGAGAAAACTTCAACTGTACAACACTTCAAGTATTCCTGAAATAATACGCGAAAAAGTATAGACGAAACAAAGCCAGGCGATAAGTGCTCATCTTACACTTTTCCCATGTTGTAACCTACGACTAACAACAGCAGGCTAGGAGGACAAGCGGACTGAGTACAGGTTACGATACATGCCACTGTACAGTGCGACTGCTACATCGTTTCTCATCGTCTCGTCCCTCTCACCTGTGACCCTAACCAAGTAAATTCCCTCTAACCCTTTCTGTAATCCGCGATCTGCGGTACTTAAAATCTCTCAACCCAACACGGGACTGTCTGACTACCGGCTTATACGTTTTGTAATGCTCTTGTTGTTACCTCCAGTCCATCCTGCTGCACAGTCGAAGTTCACTGGGCCTGCCTGAGACTCACGATTGTAAACAAGGTGTGGCTTCTTGCTTGGGTTAGCTGAACAAGCACCAGGTCCCTGGTTGCGGCTGAACCATTCGACCGATCGATAAATGAACCCGATCGGTCGTGTGATTTTCCGACCGGCAAAGAAGGATAAATTCCGAATCCGATGATGATCCGGGTTGGTAGAGAATCAGTTGTGTAGCGGTGCGCCATATGGAAGATTCGCAATGGAAAATGCTCAAGCGATGATGACACTGGGCCAACTCGTCTAAGATACACACACTATTTTTCGAAGTGGGTTCGGGAAATATAATAATAATAAAAGTTCGAACTTGTCTTAATAACAGACAACAATATCCCCTAATGTAGGTCTACACAAAACTCTTCTGGTTTTTCCCGAACTGGCTACTTCCGCGTCGAACGATTTCTCTAACTACGTCGGAAATATAATACCGAAAGAAAGAGCAAATATTACGGGAAAAATTGTGTTCAGATTATAAAAGTTGTTCCAGATGTTTTCTATTCCGCTGCTTGTACAGCAAAATACGGTGAAGATAGTTTTCTTTCACCTTCAGAATGGTAGCAGTTGGAATACTTTTGCACTGCGCCACAATACACTGTTTAAGCTCCTCGACCGTTCTCGGTTTTCTGGAATAAACTGTTCGCTTTAGACATCCCCACAGAAAGAAATAAAAGGGGGACAGATCAGGTGATCTTGGAGGCCATTCTATTTACTAATTTGTGTTCCTGTGGAACCACTAACATTGGCCGAACCAACCGCCGCTTGTCCGATCTCATTTGAGACCACCCCAATTGGCTTAATCGCGGAATGAGGAGAACCGTGGATACGGCAATCACAGCTCATTTGACGGAATCCGAACATAGTGTCAGAACGAATGAGTCGGTCAGGCCCATCTACACGATCACCGGGATGAGATCGAATCAGGTCAAGCATCGCTTACTGTCCACAGTCGAAGCGATCGCGATTCCGTTGAACCACCTGCCTGTTCGTTCAAAAACAGTCAGTCAGAGCTCTGGATTTACCATGACGCCAGAGCGACATAAAGCCGGTTATCAACTGAGTATTAAACGATTTGTGTATCCGATACATTTCACATTACAAATGGTATTTGCATAATGATTTAAACTCTTATACACCCCTTACCGTATTGTTCATAGTATGCATACACAAGCACAGCAACACAGACATTATCTACGTTTTTTCAAGATCATTGGCACTTACAAGCCTGTGTGAACGGCTGAACGCTAATCGCAACAACAATGACGAAATTAGACAGGTCACTGGTTTAGGGTAATCGGAATCAGGGACATGACTCAATTCTGAAATACGTTCCCGTCTTCAGTATCATACCTTTACCTTGATGGTTATGAGTGAAGAGTATTCCGAGCGTCATCACCCAATGCTATTTTCTTAGTTCTCTTGATTACCCTTCGAATTTGTGTGAACTTGAGTTTTACGATAAAACTTGTAGTAGTTCGAAGGTTACAGCGCAGAATTAATATTACATGCAAAACAGAACGGAAGTCCATTTTCTTATAAATATTTTTTGATTCATGAGGCTATCTATTCTGGTTGATACACTTATTTTAAATAGCTTATTTTTTGTCGTGCGATGCTAAGTAAATAAGCCGATTAATGCTAAGTTTCTAGCCTACATAAATTTATAAATTATGTGGCGACAAATTACTCACGTAATATCCCTGAAGGGAACATAAAAAATGAACTTGGTGTGTGCGACTCGTTGAATGAGCGTTTTGTGGTATCAAAATACCCAAGTCGGATAAAAAATCCAAAAAGTCTTGGCATTTAGTTGGGGCCGAGAGAACTCGTTCGAGAGGCGCAAAATCCAACGACTCGGTTTCCGACTTGTGCAAGTGCTTCCATGTGAACATTAGCCTAATTCATTGTACAATCAACGAAATTTCTCCATCAAGACATAAATGAAAAAGAAAACCGATTACACCGAAGCAAAACGATGGTTAAATTCTATTGCAACTGAGAAAAGTTGCAAACAACGAATCTGGAGGACAGTCTAGCCACAAGTTCCTTATGTTACCGTTTGGAAAAAATGGCTCAATTTGAGCTACAGCCGATATGAAACCGGTTTTGAATGTCCAACAAAGTAAAGCACGTTTCGATTTTACCAATAAGTTAAAATCGCGTCGCTCGTCCATTTGGCGTTGTTTATCTCATTGGTATTTAACGAGCAATAAAACAGGTGGAGAAAGCTGATCTGTTGAAGTAAATATCTGTCCCACCGAATGAGTTGAAGGGAAGCATATAATGAGCGCCTTGTTGTTGGTCTTTCGTACGGGTTAAGTTTGTTGCAGGTTTTCGGTGGTTATCACTCTCAAAATGCATTCAGGAAAGTAATGCTTTTCCCAGATAAAGCTCAATATCGCATAAAGCGCGAGGTTGCTGGTAGAAAAGCTTTAGACCTCATTATAAAGTGTTTTTCACACTTATGCAGCCTCCGGATGGGTCTGCTCTGTTCAGTTCGTTCGATCGCTGCCCAACAGTTGGGATTTGAATGAAATCAAAAACTTAACTGTGGGGATAAGTCAGCTACCTCGACAGTAGCGATCAGGGTGCGCATGTATTAGGAGAATTTATCAAATACTGCTGCACAGTCACCTAGGTGAACTTCATGTAAAAAGAGTAGCTTCAATGATCAGAAATAAGGGAGGGCCTACGGGTTATTATTGAAATGAAAGTACAATATGTGTATTGTCTGCGAACCATTTTGTGGCTAAAATATAATGATTTTCTCACAGCTGATGCACCAGCAATCATCTTCGAAATCGATAAATTTTACTGGTTTGAGTTATCCGACCAATGGAAGCAACAAGGTAATTAGATACTTTCAGATATGCGTTCCATGTGATGTGCGGAAATATCACATTTAATCTCCTTAAGGAGGCTTGATACATCAGGGTAAGGGAGGAACAGATCTGACGAAAGTCAGGGTGTCACAGGAGTTTGATCAATATGTGTGCCATGCTTCCTGTACGAATAGCTTCACCGACACGCTTTCCAAGTTGAGAAATTTTTTCTTCCAAACGGTCTGATACCTGATGGGGTCTGTAGGTCTGACGCACCAGTTTCAAACTTACATCGAGCATACTGAACATTTTTGCATGGCTTGCAGCTGTAGACTCTCATAGCAGCAGGAATGAAATGATCGATAAAATTCAAATTCACAAGCAGTTAATAGTTAATTTGGCTCTTAATGAGGTTAAAAAAAATAGAAAATGAAATTAGAAACAGAACACTAACCTGAAGGAACTTTGTTACGGAAACAGGGTCCCGTCGGAGAGTTGATTGCGCGAAAGATCCTGTTTCAGACCTTGCTAAAGGGGTGTTCTCGACAAGATGTCTAGACCAACGCCACCACGCAACATGTTGACTCGTCCAACGCCAAAACGCAGCTAAACACGGTCGACAAATAGAATGACGCATTAGATCACGATGGGCTAAAACCAAGTCGCATGCGTGACCGCCGCAACACACGCCGCCCTTCCCAATGACCGTAGACGGTGAAGAACAGTAGTTACCACGGGACATTAAGAATTCACGCACTGGCATGTCTTCGATGATAGCCACAGCTGCTGGGTTGGCATCATTCAACAAACAATGTGCAGTGTCCGATGGGGGTTCGGAAGGATCCACAGGGAGCAACTCTTGAACAACGTGGGACAGCGGCAAGCCAGTAAGACGCAAACTAGACGCTACTGCCTGAGCTACCCTAGAAACTGTTGTGACTCCACGATACAGATCTACTTTAGGGGAAGGGAACTCCGGTCCTAGTGTACCAGCCCAACGACATAACCGTACCGAGCAAGCACTGCAAACACCCAGTTGTTGGAACCATGAATCTGGTCGGCTAACCAGGAACTGAAGAAGTGCATCCCGTGGAATTCCAATTGTTTGAGGTTGTATGTCATCACATTCTAAACGTAAGGACGAAAACAAAAATTCATTAGTTATTGATGTCGTAAAACTGCATTGACAGACGCGTTGAGTTACCTGCATCAATACTGATAGCATCTACCAGCATACCTGCAAAATATTAGCCCAATGAAGAGTAGACATAGGTGCGATATCTTCGAAATTAATAAAAATAGCCCTGCCACTATTTGTACTCCTAGACTGATAGTCATCTAACTACCTCAGCACGATCGAACTCGCAAATGACCAAGCGAAGCATGATGCAATTTGACAATACATGCAAGACTCTTCGCTGGCTCTACCGCGTGCTCTCGACCAGCAATGAGATCAGCCTTGGAACCGAGATATCTTTTAGGCTGCTGTCCGATTCGTACTCATTCACAGATGGAAAACTCAGTCACTACAAAACCGAGGACACCAGGCTGTATATGACGACTGGAGCCAACGACTTATCCTTCGAACTACATGAGAAAATACTCGACGAAAAAGGGGGAGACGGGGCTGCTTTAGAGCACAACTCATTCAGGCAAATATTACATCACAGTATAAACATGAGACTGATAAAAAATTAGGTATTAAGGAAGACAAGATGAGGGTGTTATCCCATTTCGAAGACAACTCATAATGGAAGGATGAGACATACAAAACGGGTGGCCGTTCTCTAGTGAATAAAATATTCGCTCATCGAGTCTGAGATCAACAAACTAAACTGGTTGTGCACAAGGACCCCAAACTGATATCCACTGCAGAACAGCCCCAACGAAACGCTGCGAAGCAAAATACACCCCATTGTACGAGTATGATGGGGCAACCGGACGAGCAAGGTCGAGGTTAGACGTAGAGTTTCAGGTTACCATAGTCCGCCATCGGTCCGTTGATTGTATTGCGCATGTCACTAAAGAGGTTGCCACGACGCGTGATACTTGCCGAGGGAGGTAATGGATGCAAAAAGTTAAAGGTGGTCAAACAAAGACCCGACATGAGGGTATAAAAACTCAGACGAGCAGACTCGATCTTATAGGTCGCGTTCGGCTAACTGGGATTATCGTCACCGGATGTTAGGCACAGTGATTGATATGGAGACTGCTGCAAACATTGAAGCTCATGCGTCCACTCGTTATCCCTGCGACATTATTCCATGTGAATTCTCTGTCTTCTCTTTGACTCCACTTACAACATTTCCTTCTTCCTTCTGATATTTTATCCAAGTGGGTAGTCTGAAGACAGCTAAAACTATAATGTGTAGATGCTTGGTTATTAGTTGTGAAAACCGAACTGAATTGAACTACCGCGTCAGAACATAATTACACGTTTACCGTTATATTGTCAATAAACACGCCCTGTTACCACCGGACAATCAAACTTATTTCACAAGTCACGATTAGTTATTTTTCAACCGCAATCAAAGTCAAAAACAAAGTACCTGTACCTGTGCCCGACGGACTTCAAAAAATGATCCTCGAAAATGTATGGTTGGGCTGGCTACTTCACTGCATTGTTCAACAGATGTATCAATGCGGTGTATCGACGAAAAGAAAATAGCGGATGGTTTGATAACTACGCAATACAACTACTCCTCCCACACCCCAAATAAGTTGATCAATTGGGACCCGATTGGATGGACATCTATTGACTTGAGAAATTGAATGGGCATAGTTTTCATCGCATGAGCACACAATTTTTTACGCCAGCAAACCGTCACTATCGACTTTCGACGCTACCGTTCATTTAATTTTATCTACTTTCAACATTTCTAGCACGGTATTTCGCATGGCTCCTTGAGCATAGCAATGCCATCAAGAGCATTTTTAGCTCTAAGCTACTCCCTCCGTTAAAAGCTCTTGGACTATTCGTACCGTTGCTAGTATGTCACAGTTTACTTTATTGATGAGTATACGTTTCGCACCATTCAAGTGCCTAGTGTTTGTACAAGACTGACATAAGCCTGTGCTCAATGTTTGCGGTGATCGGCTAGAAATATTCAAGTTCCAGATACCCCGGGGGTTTGATCGCAGCTGGTGGTATTGAGGAAGAGACCATATATACATACGTGTATATGCCGAGCCTACGAAAGTACCCAGCTGACTAATTTTTGCATCCTAAATCTGTCTTGCATTGACTGAGATTTGCTTTCTGGTTTGAGACTGGATTTATTGGTGAAATATCTAATGAAGCACAATGATTAAAATGCATTCTACTGGGGTGGATAAAGCAACCAGTTAACCATACAAAAAGAGAAAGAATGGACAGTATTCCTAATGAGACCATGAGTAAAGAGAACATTGGGGAGGCTTACCTCTACCACAGGCACTTGAATTAGTTGTAGGTAAACCTGATGAATTGTTACTTGAGTTCTGAGCTTGGTTCTCTTGATCCTCTGAGAGCTGGCTTTGACCGGAAGGATTAGCCGTAGCAGTATACAGGAGAAAGCCGTCCGGGCTGAAGCGAACCCATCGAACACGTGAGTGATTTGACACAAATCGCCAAACAGATAATTTACGACCAGATACCCAGTCGTAAAATACGACTTCCTGAGACCTGTGGGAGTAGACACCAGAGAGTAGAAGTTAAAAGACTGGATGATAAGAAAACAATGATCCATTTAGAGTGTAAGCGTAGCTCTTTTATACAGTGACGGAAGGCAGTAGGAAGATAAAGTTTTTCTTACCACGCGGCTACAAGAATCGGGTGCGTCGGGTGGAATGCAAGGGAAGCGATTGCACCAGAGTGCTTCCAAACGCTTGTACAGGAAAGCTGTCGTGGTTCGGAAAGGTTGTTACCGTCGACATTGATCAAGCATTCCAAATTCCACAAGCGAATACTCCCACCGAGACAACCGCTAGCAAGTAAATGTGGCTGCGACGGATGGAACTGTAAGGATAAAAAATTACCAAATTAATGAGAAAGCCAACAGATGGATTTAAGAAATAGTTTGAGGACAACTTGTTAGTTATGTACCACATTTTGTTCTAACTGAAATTTAGTCATTACGCTCGTTTCCAATTCACTTTCTGCTTTGAATTCCATTGGGCATTTATATTACTGATTCGGGTTCAACATCAAATGATGCATATAACATAACCAACATAAAAACACTCCCATCCTCTTATTATTGTGTGAATTAACCTCATCACGACCGTAGAACGTGATAACTGAGATTACGAAAAAATACAAGAGCAGACCTTGAGGAAGTTCTCCGACGTTTGAGCCTGACAGCAGCCGCCGAAGTCATTATCAGCGTACAGCGGAACACGGTGAATGGAACTCGGGGATCGCTGCCGAGCTCATAAGATACACAAAGTATGTTTCCAGTTCAGTTTTCCCAAGCATTAACCATATACTTTTGTGAGCCGGTTTCGCTTGCTGTCCTTAGACTGCCCATTAGGATAAAAGATCAGAAGAATAGTATGTTTTAAGTGGAGTCAAAAAGATAGGAAATTTACATGTTGCAAGGGATAATGAGTAGATGCACGAGCGGCAGTCAGTCATGTTACACTAACTACCGGTTACGATGACTCCGGGGTACCCATTCAAGCCCAACGCGGTCCACATGAGCAGATTTCCTGATCAGGGTTTTACTACTCCACAGTAGATGTGAGTTTAAAAACCCTTGACCTTTTACACCCAGAACGTGTCGGGAGTAGGCCTATTGAGACTGAGGACGAATAACCAACCACTGAAGTTAACAGCCCAAAGGAATATATATATATATATATATATATATATATACCATATTATATACTATTCGAATCACTAGTTTCCCAGACGATGTTCCCATCTCGTCTAAAAAGTGATCTTGATGAATAAAAAGCAACACAGCTATCAACCGTTTCTTTAGGAAGTCGGGCGGTACATGCCAAGGCAATATCCTATAATTTTTATCCCACCAACTTCCTATTTACTGTTAACTTACCTGGTGACCTATCTATTCAACTTCAAGTAATGGTGATAGGCAGCTGTGCTGTCGTCTGGTTCAGTACCACACCTAACCTAACGGGGCCTGATGTGGTTCGCCAATTTCTGGGGCTTAGGTTGCCGGATAAAACCACTGAACAGCAGGTCTTTGTGACCATGGGGCTTTCCCCGTCTGCTGTTCATCACATGAAAGTATGTAATAAAAAAATGATAATCAATTGCACTCCACTGAAAACCCTATGATTGATGCTTTGGCCGTCACACATCACTGAATGGATTGGCTTTATCAAAACCCTATTCAGTCAGGAGAAAACGATTTCTCCATGGACAGTAAGGGTTGGTTAGCAAACGAGGTTGCGCCTCGGAGTTGACTGTCCGTCCCTTGACTCAAACGGGAACCTTATGTCCCAGACCGTTGATTGAGTGAACTTCGGAAGAGAACGAACGAACCCGAAGGTAGTTTTCTACGGATGACCGGGCAGGAAGGGAATCACGTCAACATAGACCGATAAATCGGGCACCACGCTTAGGTGTGAATGTTGACATGATTCATGGCACGAGAGCTCTGTCTGGGCCCTTGATGGCTTGGCAAATAATCAAAATGAGGCCCAGATTCCCTCGAATAACACCGCTTTTTCAGAAGCAAGTGAGATTGTTTGCACACAACTGGTACACCTAATAAGATACTTAAAAATGGTACAGCCAAAGAATTAGTAGTATTTCACCCGAGTAGCATGATTAGATTTGAGCTCATTTACGGGCTGAGAAAATTTATTTTCCTCCGTTATTCCCAGATTAACCACAATAATGCTAATGTGTGTGAACCTTATAGTTGAATGAGTGAGACAGGTGACAATTTAGTCACCCAGGATTCTAGAAGTTATATATATATATATATAAACTCATTATTTTTATCATTTGGTATAAAGGTGATCTTTATCAGTTTGCGCATTCTGCTTCATTGAATTTTGTAATGGACATGCTTCTAGTAAGAATCCTTTCCTTCATGCGCTGATAGCGTTAATGAAATGTACAATCAGCAGGTAGTCTAATCCGAAATATGCGGACACGGTTCTATAGGCCAAATTAAGTTGCAAGCTTTTCGAAATGGGTCGGATGGTGACCGTTTGGCATGGGTTCGCGCGTTCAAAAATGTAATGCTCTAGCAGAGCTGGGTAGGTTCGCTTTTCAATAAAATTCTAACTGGGAAAGCAGGAATAAGAACAAATATCTGCCACTTAGTAACATCTCATTCACCGGATTTGGTACGTACGCCACCACCACGACATTCAGTTTATCCATGAAGTGTTGCAACCGGGTAACCCATTCTCCGGTAAGGTGGAGACATGACAAGGACACTATCGGTGTTTGAACACCACTGTCGGGTAGGAAAACCGAACAACATTAGTTGCTAAATTTGAGGGAATTAGGGGTGGTCATTGAGGAGTGTTTCGCTTTAGAGGTCGATACGGCTCGGTTATATTTTACGTACATTAGATGAAGAGCACATTTGTCGTAGTCTCCAGGCAATCGAAATATCAAACTCTGATCCATCCGGGGGCCGGGATACCCTGAAAGAACCGTAGAAGGTATTATACCCCGCCAACTTTCTGTTGGGTGGTGCTGATCAAGCGGTTGAAGTCGATGCCGATGTGCTTTGAACTTTAGGGCCAAAGGCTCGATCCCGCCATCATCACCGAACTTTGACAGTGGGTAGTGTAGCTACCGTCCGACCCACTGCCAGACCTGTGCTAGTGGGACCTTATGGGGTTCGCTGCTCCAATTCCCAAGAGTTAGGTAACCGGTCCCCATAAACTAACGATAGGTTTTCGTAACTACGTGGTTTACTTAGTCCCCAGTTCATCACTAGATTGTAAAACAAAGAAGTTCAGTCCATTGTCGTTTTCATTACACAATATTACGTAACCGATTACAGGGAACTGGCAAATGTGCCACATGAACAAGAAGAAATATGAAGAATGTGTTCACAGGTTGTGGGCCCTGGCCAAGGAAAGAAGATAACCACACCCGAAGCCTTTGACTACCTAGTTATAGCGCCGTGTTGGCTTTTTGTCCTCTCACTTTGGTGGGAAAACACCGCCACGAGAATGCAGTGAGTAGGGCTTCCTCAGCAGAGGTTATTTGAGACGCTTGATCATATAGGAGCATTTCGCGGTGTAACGGAATGGTGACCAGCCACAATCCCAGACAGCCAACCCGATAATACTGAGGCTTTCGGATTTAAAGGGGGAGTCCCCATATTCAAAAACCAAGAAAGCAGGGAAACAACTGTGTAAGAAACAGCTTAGTGATTTTGCGTTTCATCAGCATCATCATTGTACAGCATTTAGAGAGTGGAAAGTTATAAGGTGAGGGAAAGTTAGTTCGAGGAAGGGGAGAGATTGCAGTAGAGAAGTACATCTCGTGAAATATGATCAGGATCACTAGTCGCCTGTGTACGAGATGAGCGGGAAGGTTACATGAAGAGGAAACTGTCGGAGAAAAATCAACGCATGTTAGGACAGACAGCTGAGCATTGGTCGGACAAGTTCAATGCATCTCAGACAGTGAGATGAAACGGTTTTACTCAATGAAAGACTATCTGATTCTAACACATTTGACTTTGTTAATCGGAGATGAAATCGACGCTGCGACAGCAACAGCACACAGAGCAGCGCTATGCATGTGTTATTCTTCTCACACGACGGAATCCAGACTCTTTTTAATTACACACTTAGGTGTGATGAATAGCAGACGGGGTAAACCCCATAGTCACGAGGACCTGCTGTTCAGTGGTTGAAATCGGCAACCTAAGCCCCGGAACTTGGAGTGGCAAACCACATAAGGCCCCGATAGTTTAGGCGTGGTATTGAACCGGACGACAGCATAACTGCCTACCACCAAAGTCGGGTGGCGGTGGCGGGGCTCGAACCGTAGAGTCCAAAGCACGCCGGTGATAGCGACTAAACCACTGCGCCACCACCACCCTGTGGCAGTGGTCACCGGCCGATTGGGCATCTTGGACGTTTGACCCCGTCCGAAGGGCGAATGGTCCGTTTAACTGGACACCGACTTTCAATGGACTGCGGTTTTCACACAACGCCCCGCTGCCTTGCGGGTCAGATAGACTCCCAAACGCACGACGGTTTACCTCCAGATTACCATCCCACGTGGGCTAAACGACGCAAACATCGATGATTGGAAACTAGTCGATGGATATCTACTTGGAAATTCAAGGTCTAACAACCATAAGGCAGAACTGAACGAGCGGTAGCACAATACATACTACCTTTCAACTTCAGTGAAACGTCGCGTCTTCGCCAATGGAGTTTCAGTCTTGTGTATACTGCTGCGGACGCTTATCGTTGCTGTACTACCGTCATTCGTCACGCGGTTATCTAAGTAGGAAGACAAATCCACTTCCACTAATTCCTGGCCATTTAGTTTCAGAGCGGGAGTAGGCGACATCCAGTTCAGCAGCATTACTTTGCACTTTGAAGGTGCAAAGCAAATACCGAATGTGACAACACCCCAAGTTAGTCTATCAAGTACGTTGCGCGTCCTCAAACATTTGAACAGAAAGACGATATCATCAGCGCACTCCAAATCACGAAAGTGCAGTCGCAGACTACTGCAAATTTTACTGCAGCGCCTAGCCCTTCAAGGTAGGCAGCATATGCCTGGACAACCAACCTCAAATCCCAAGCAATTTAACGCATCTTGCACCCATTGCAAATCCAAAACCTATCATTCCGCCTAGTGGCGCATTAGAAATGGCTTCGCGTTAGGGCTGAGCAGCGGATCACGGGTCCACCAATATGTTTCGCATCATCTACCTAAAGCACTCTCGTGTCCGGAAAAGCGATCGCAGAAAATTATTCCATTCGATTTTTCTTGTTACAAACGTGTGATGTACAACAGACGGGGTAAAAACCTAGATACGAAGAACTACTGTTGGTGATGGAACGGTTACCATAACCCCGGAGTGAGGAACCAAATAAGGCCGCGTTCGGTTAGGTATGGTGTTTTACCGGACGACAGCAACCTTGCCTACAACTAAGGTTGGGTGGTAGGAACTGCTAGTGGCAGCACATACAGGAGCCGTGTGTGAAACTAGTGGTTTGTCTCAAGAATTCTTGAGCACAGTAATTCCATTAATTAATTGCAGTAATTTTCTCTTTGATAAGAATAAGGTCCCAAAGTACTACCATCGGGGGCAGTGCAGAATCACTTGATCAATTCACTGAGTAGCTTCCCTTAAAAATAAGCCGGCTTCGCGAGTAGTCTCGTGGAGAGCTGGTGCAAGAGACGTACCTAGCATCACTTTGAGACCGTAATTATAGCTTTCGCACAGCCCAGGGCGGCGTGGCAGGCATGATCAGTGACTCGTTTGAGATATTCTGACGTCTCAAAAGAATTAAATGNACAATCAAGATAAATAATTTAGCTGAGGAAACCGGCATACTGGGCATAGAGAATCCACGTGAACCCGAATGACTACAGAACTGGTACCAAGAACTTCAAACGTAATTCTATACCGCTGCCCAGTAATTCAAACTTACAGAGAATCAAGATTTTTCTATGATATGGTTCGAGGGGAAAAGCATCACAGCAATGTGGCACCAAAGTACTGAGAACTAAAAATCAACACTTGAAATATGTAGGCAAAGCGCATAAGTCTCGGAAGAGAAATTAAAAATGACATTGCAATAAATCTATGCCAGGCTTAAGTGATTTTCAAATGAAATAGCAAAACCCAAATTTTCGACACTGGATTTTGGGTACGGCTCCACGCTCAAGGATATTGAAGAACCGCTGAAGACATCACTCACCGCGACTAGGGAGAAATCTGGTTTTCCTCTTATAATGAGGGAAAGTTAATACATCATGCAATTAGTATGTCACAATTGTGACAAATACTTTACTAATGTACATTAGTGACGGAACTATATTAGATTATAAAAACGTTTGCTGTCGGATAGCTACAAAACAGAAACAAGTCAATGCAAACCAGCCTCACTAGATTCCGCTAGCTGTGACCGTTTAAAATCAAGGAAGTGCTTCCAACGGCACCAAACGCCGTAGGACTGTATTAATACGGTAGTGCAAATTGACAATTTTTTAGTCACGCTTTAAAGTATAGGTCTCGTCAGTTCCTTTCAATCTGCTCGGACTCCCACAAAGCTCGCAAAACTTGACCGCGGAATTCGAGCAGAATAGGACAGGAAAGTCTAATAAATTATGCAGTCAGGTAGGTAATATGAGGAAAACTGATTCTCTATAACTTACAACCAAAGTCCAAGGAGACCTCTCATGTCCAGTACACCTGGCTAGAAGAACGCCGGTTGATGCACAGTAAACAGCTACCGATCGATCGCCGTGCGCGGCAGCAAGGAGCTTGCTGGTCGGATTCAAACGCAATAAATACGTTGAACGACAATCTGGGAGAGTAGCAGCCACAATAGGTTTCAACTTCCGCGCAGATATTAGCAGATTTGGCACCATCTGATTACTCGGACATGTTAGTTTGCCCCGCTCCCGACAAGAAATATAATGAACAACACTTTTCCAATCCGTCTGTGTTATAGAACTCATTTCTGCACTTGTACGGAAACTACTCTAAAGAAAATATTATCCGGAATCAGCTATTGAATGCCAAAATTGATAATCGCACATCCAAGTAATCCACGAATTCCGATAATTTATAAATCCAAATCATGACACGATGTAAAAGGAGCGACAAAGGTATAATCGACGGGAAAGATGGCGTATAAGTGACCTCATTTAACGCATTAAAACAATTTAATTCAGTTCAGTTCGGCGCCCATGACGTTGATGATATCTTGCCAGGCAGTCCAGTTTCTTGCACTGGTGAACTCCAACAACGACGAGGTGACATTAGGGTGAAAGTGTCCATCTTCAACGGAATACACGTAGATGTACGAATAGGGCAGTACCTCTGCAACATCATCCCGCTCCTAGTATGTTTGCTAAACGTCAGTGTTACTCAATGCCGCTCCGGTAGGAGAGTTAAAGCAAAACCGTCGAAGCCAATAGGAATGAAAACCCATAGGCCTCGAACAAGCAGTCTACGGTTAGGAGAAGTGAAGATCGGAAGTGGAAGCGGGGCATAAGAGGATCATCGAAATGAAAAAGGAAGACACTCTTTAACAGCTTGAACTGTTAATCTCCTCCGAAGAAATCCCACTCCATCAAGTTTTGCGATCTTTATTGAAAGCATCAACCCTCTCGGTACAAGTACCTTTACTATATTCGGACTTTGTTGTTTTACTGGATCAAAACCACCTGGTTGGTCACTTTCACTTTCTGCACGCATACTCATCTGTACGCTTCTCGCTCTGCTATAAAGATCACTCCAATACAAGTGCCTTTTAGGTTTCGTGATATCAGCCGTACTCTCTTCGGGTCGTTCTTTCTCAGTCAGTAAAGGAATACACTCAATAGTCACTGTTTCGTCAAAGAGGGGCACCTCGTTAATTATATGTACGGAAGTTAGAAATGTGTGCATTTAGATTCTAAAAATGAAAAATCCATCATATAGCTAACCATTTGCCATTGAATCGATATTTTTCATCACATAAAAATCTACTTATTTAATGCTTTTAGTTGTGACACTTGAAATGCTTTTGGCCCATTATAGTGTCCTAAATTTTCTAATTTACTTATATTAAATCAAGCTTTATTCATTTACTCCATTTACAAGTGTCTTCTCACGATTTCGATGAATCGCTGTCGAAAATTTTTACCGACAGACACCAATCCGTGGATGTGTATTATTCACTGAATGAACGGTGACTCTCGTGCTGACTGCGTTCGTCCTTCACTAGACGTAGGTTTTCATGAACATCACCTTAATAATCGGAATAGTGTTGAATTTAGGAATACCAGAATCCGTACTGTAATGCTCAGAACTGATTTGGCTCCAACCCGAACTGCGGACACCAATGAAATACACGAGGAATTGATAGCGGCAAATGCTTATGTTCATTGATAGAATTAGAGCATGTTTTATGGAATGCAATAGTCCATATGATTGACTGAAGGGCCGTCGCCCAATTACGT